TACAAGCTTCAAATATTACAGAGTATCTCATGCTGAATTCAATTTGAAGTCATCGTAATCTGGAGTTCGTTTTCCCTGAAATGTTAGTACACACAAGAGCAAATACAATTCTTCTAAAAAAATGTTAGGAGATAACTACACATTTGAACAATAATGTTTGGAATCATCAAAACTTCATAAGTTGCAAAAATGTAAAGCATGCAAATAGCAACTATCTTAACAATTATGCATGGCATTGAATGGACTGAGCATTAACCTTACAATGGTAGGTTCTATTAAAATATATCAATACCTGATGTATCCGTTTTACATTCTAAAATAAGTTATATAGGCTATGCATACCATCATATTAAAATATATCAGTACATCATGTGCATCTGTATCAAAGTTATTGAAAGGATTGAGAAATCTGCCTAGAGGTTATAGTTTTCGGATCACATGTCTAAAATGCCTAATATATTCCACATGTCACTTCAGAGAAAATGGATATTTGATTCTAGAAATAAAATATATGCTGAAGACATTGAGGTATACTCGAATATGAGCTACAAGGAAGAACCAAAGAGAGCTCTAGCCCATAATCTCAGATAGTTGAGAAGTAAACTGATTCTTATGGTGAAAATTCAATGAAATAATATAACTAAAAGAGAAGCTACTTGAAAAAAAAGGTTGATATAAGATAATTATACCCTAATTTATCGATGTGATATGAGACCTGAGTTTGAAAATGTCGATGGTGACATTTTTCTATGGAGGAGAGAGTTGTGACACATCCAGATTCAATATTTGGTTTTGTACTGTTCTGACCTGATTAAAAAAAAGATAAATTTTTTAGTTTTAAACTCATTTGCATGGTTTTGGGGCGTGTTTTATGAATAAAAATGATTGTATGTGTTATAGAATTAGTCCCAATTATTTCGAATGAATTTGAACAAAATTTAAAAATCTCAATTTTGAAGTGCCTCAATGTTGGACGTGTCATGAAATACAAAAAAATATTATAATTAAAATACAATAATATCTATCTTATGGTGAAGATGATTTTTAAATTTGAATTATAATGACTCCTAAAAAAATATTTTTCTGGGTCAAAATACTAGTTATTACAGAGTGTCCAAGCACCGTGGTGCTGCACTTAGCCAAGATGCCAAATAGTGACATTGCAATGTTATTAGTTCTAAAATTTAAGATTTTTAACTAGTACTATAGTGCTAGGCCACTAACATCACTTTACATATATTTTAAATCCATTGTTTGGTTCATTTAATCAAAATTGTAATAAGTCGTGAGAGAGAGGAGAGAAGTTTGGAGAGAAAAAAGTGAGTTTTGGGCAATTTTTTGCCGTCGACCCAGTTGAAAAAAGTGTCTGGACTTGATCAAGTTAGGTCACATTATATCCATGTTGGTTTTAAAAAATTCTAAGCTTTTTCAAAATTTTCGATTAATTTATATTTCTGTTATAAAAAATGAGAATAATTTTGCACTTAAAACTTTTTACGCCATAACTTGTTATATATTATAGAGACTTAGATTTTGAACATTTTAAATATTTTCTAAAAAGAAAATTTATGAAATATTTTGAAAATTATGCAGTTTTTATTGAATAGAAAACAATCCAATCACTAAAATATAATGGTGTAGTATAATTAATATCTTAAAATAGAATTTAACACAATCCTTAGTAAGTTGGTTATATTTTCAAATTGTGAAATTTTTGTTTCCTACCTTTATAGAAAATTGTGCAACCCTGAAACATGCACAATTATGTTTTAATTTCCATAATATGATGAGATATGTGCATATATGACAAAATTATGATTGCTGAGAGATATAAGGGGTCATAATCCATTGAGATTCTGTTTGTCGGGAAATTCAGTGCCTATAAGGAATTTCTGATGATTATAAGCCATGTTTTAGTACATACGAGCATATTCTGGTACTATAAGCACAAATGAAATCATAAGGGGCTAGAATTCTTAGATGTTTTGTCTGGGTTTGAGAAAAATAAAGAGAAAACTAGTATGAATTATTCTGTTTTAATTCGTGATATGAATTTTAGTTTATTAGATTGCTCAATATTATTACTTGAATCTTTGAATAATTATTATGCTCTTATTACACTTTTAATTAATTTTAAAAATTCTTAAAAATATTTAATAAAAGATTTAAAAGTTTAATTCGATTTGTGTGGTGTACTGAACTGTTGTAGCTCACTGTAGTTTTGCTTCTGATTTTTTAGGACCCGAGAAATAGAATGAGCTTGTTAGTTAGCAGCTTAGGATCTGATTAAAGTTTATAGGCTTTCTTTAGTTTATTTTTATAAAGTAATTGTTAGTTTATTATTCAGTTATGTAGCTTCTATTAGTATCTTAATAATATCTGAATAAATTAATGTTGGGCTCATTAGATTTGCCTCGTCGAGCCTCTCGATTCGATTATAAGCATGTCATATTTGTATATCATTTTGTTATCCAATTAATACTTTAGAACTTTCAAATATACTCTAATCCTTTGGTTTGAGCCCATTTCATCTTGGTTTGACCGATTTTTGTGTCGTTGGGTTCGTCTCACAGAGACATTCAATTTGATCATAAATTTATTGAAATTAGAGTTTGGATGATCATGTAGTTAATTTTGTAAGTTGACAACTTAAATATACCTCAAGATTTGTTGATCAAGACTATTTTTGTTGACATATTAATATCACAAGTAATCGATGACATATACTATTAGAAACATTTTAACTAGCTACACCTAGCCATTTTTCTCTTCTGAAATTTTCCTATAAAAATAATAGCGTCTCTTACAATTTTTATTAATGTTATGTAAAATTAAGATCTAAAAAACTTCTCTCAGTCATTACAAATTTTCTAATATATAACAACCATCATATCATTAAAAAAAATTACTCCTTATCATAATTAAATAAATTATAGGTTATGAAAAATAAACCTTAAAAAAATCACTCAAATTGACTCGCAATAACAACCTTGTCCAGCCATACGTGCGAAAGGCCAACAAATTCCTCTCAGAGGAGCAACGAATGTGGCAGGCGGTTACGTTAAGCAGAACTACTAATCCCTAGTTAGGAAATGGTCAAAACTTGCAATATTAAAATAGTAAGCTGAAATCCTCAAAGAATGACTGAACTTTCGCTCCGCCGGGAGAGTTTTGTGGCCCATCAGAGCTCCGTCGTGACTGAGCCTGTGGCGAGAGAGAGAGTCTGCTGATACATTACTATATTAGACAAAATAGAGAGAGAAGATACCGCGGGTGAGGTGGACGAGGTCGCATCGGCCCCCGTCTTCTTTTCCCACCCTCCATATATTAATAATCTCTTCCAGAGAAGAAAGAACTCCCGCGCTCATGCAATCGGTTCCTCATCACTTCCTCTTCTTGTTCTTGTATTCCTCCTTTCTTCTTCGACTCTGAATCGATCGTCGGCAGAGAAACCCTAACTCTACTTGTAATGGCAACGGATACAACGCCGACTGCGGTGGCGGTTTCGCCGGTTCCCGCACTGTACATCGGGGACCTACACCAGGATGTAACTGATCCGAACCTTTTCGAGCTTTTCTCAACCATTGGCGATATCGCTTCTGTTCGCGTCTGCCGGGATTCCGTCTCCGGGTGCTCGCTTGGCTACGGTTATGTCAATTATATGTCTGAGCAGGATGGTAAGATGCTGGCGGGCTCTGGTTCTATTCGCATTGCTTCTTGTATCGCTGTGTGGGTTGTTCTTGTATACATTTATGCGTTTCTATAGGTTGAATTAAGGCATATTGGTTATAGATTTTATGGACATTGTTGATGGCGTTTCTTGCTCAATATTTTAGTTTCTTTTCTGGGTCTGTTTGCGGCGAATGTGAAATCGTTTTCCTGTTATTTGATACTTGCTTTGGACTTATATTCATTGATTCGCATTGCTTTCCTTAGTTATGCGTCTCTCGGATTATTTGGAGTGTTGCACTTTTTTCTGAGCATCCATACACCGTTTTCTGTGTTTTCATTGCATAATTCACACAAAAAAATAAGATAAAAGTGGAGGGTAATTCTTTTATCGGCTAATCTTTCTCATATATATTTGTTCTTATCATGAATGCTTGATTCTAAGATGAGCCCATAAAAGAATTACCCTCCACTTTACATTATCGCTAGATTTGCTTTGATTTTTTTTTTGTTTCTTGCAGCTGAAAATGCTATCGAGAAATTAAACTACAGTGTTTTGTGCGGGAAGCCCATTAGGATTATGTGGTCACACAAGGATCCAGTTGCTAGGAACAGCGGGGTTGGAAATATATTTGTGAAGGTACGCTCGTGTACCATACCCTATTAAGTTGTTCTCTGATTAATGATTAACTGATTTGATTGTTCTGTGGATTTTTGATATTGATATTGAGTCTTGTATTTAGAACCTAAGTGGATCCATTGACAATTTGAAACTTCAAGCTATGTTTGGGAAATTCGGGACTATCTTGTCCAGCAAAGTGGCTTTGCAGGATGGAAAGAGCAAAGGTTATGGCTTTGTCCAGTTTGATTCGCAAGATTCTGCAAACGCTGCCATAGAAAATCTGAACGGTACAACAGTTGATGGCAAGAAACTGTATGTAACTATCTCTTCTCTTGTATCTGCACCTACCATTTTCATAAAATGCAACCCATGTATATCTTTACTGTTTATCATCACCAGTTAAAATTATCCGGCTTCTATTTTATCATATGTTCGTGATCTTCTTTCTCGTAGTGTTTTCTTGGTATGCAACCTATGATCAAAATAAATTTTTTTCAATTACTGTTCGTGGGTAATAATGCAGCTTTGTGAATAAGTTCATAAAAAAGAGTGAGCGAATTCCCTGCAATCTTGAAGCCAAGTATACGAACCTGTACATGAAAAACTTGGATCAGGATATAACAGAAGAACTTATTGAACTAAAGTTTTCAGAGTATGGAAAAATCTTTAATGTGAAGATTGCAAAGGATGAAGCAGGAAACTCAAGAGGATTTGGGTTTGTAAACTTTGAAAACCCTGAGGATGCTAAAAAGGCAGTGGAGGCAATGAATGGACTTCGGCTGGGTATGCTCTTTCACTTTCTCATATATTTATCGATATTCAAAATCAAGTTTCCTGAATTATGACTAGATATCAAACTGTGTTTGATTGTTTGTTGCCTGTGAATATTTCTGTTTAGGATCAAAGAAACTATATGTTGCAAGGGCCCAAAAGAAGGATGAGCGACTACAAATTTTGCAGCATACGTTCGAGGAAAAACGGAATGAACAGATTAGAAATAATATGGTAATTCATCTTGTATTCATCCCTTAGTGCCTCTCTATGTTTTCTCAGAAAAAATTATGGCAATGCCATCCTTTTTCAGGCTTCAAATCTGTATATTAAGAACATTGATGATTGTGTTGATGACAATGCTCTGTGGGAGTATTTCAGTCAATGCGGTACTGTTGCCTCGGCAAAAGTTATGCACGATGAGAAAGGAAACAGTAAAGGTTTCGGGTTTGTTTGTTATACTACTCCAGAGGAGGCTTCAAATGCAGTGAATACTCTTCATGGTATTTTAATCTTCTTTCAAATCATGTTTGCAATATCTTGTGCTTGACAAACAAAGACAAATCAGTAAGTATTTCATTCAGGAAGCATGTTCCATGGAAAACCTTTATATGTTGCAATTGCCCAAAGGAAAGAGGAAAGAGCAGAACAGTTGCGTCTTCAGTATGCCCAAAGAATGAATGGTTTGGCTGGTTCAGCAACCGCTGTAGTCCCTACTGTTTATCCCACACTTTACTACAGCCCTCCGGGAGTTATGCCACAAATTTCTGCCCGACAAGGTATTGTATATCAACCTTTTGGGCTGAGACCAGGATGGCGGCCAAGTGGATTTGTTCCCCCATCTAGGCCAACTTTTCAGCCAATGCCGCTTCCAATTGTAAGGCTTTCTTGTTTTGTTCTCCTTAATTGGTATTTATTTATTCGTGATTGATAAGGGATTTGCTTTTATGTTTGTCTGCAATTTCCTTTAGCTTCTGCTTGAATTGATTATGCTAACATCCGCTTTTTGCAGATTCCTAATACTCCTAGACAACAAAGGCAAAACAGGGGTCGGATGAATGGACATTTTCTGCCTCAATCTGGGCAATCTATGCCATACATGGCTCCGTTGCAACAGCCTAACCATTCTCTGAATTATTTGAAAGATAATAATAGCCAAGAGGTCTGCCTACTTTGTCCTTTTGTTTTCCTTTCCATTGTTATGAATTTTTTTCTCTACACCCATATCTCTTTTAACATATTCCTTAATTTATGTATGTTCTGTAACTGAAGCTCTTATAGATGATTTTATCATACCATCGCTAACCTGTTTAGTAGTTGGCTATGGTTTTGTTTGCCTTTATATTGCATGCTAAGAACCCTTCTTTCTGTGCTCCATTCGTAAATTTTTCCTCGTTGATGAATTATCTTTGGGATTTAAGGTAGGCTATGGCTTTGTTAACATTTTCACCATGTTAATTCTCCTGATTCCTAAATCTTTATTATTCAGGTTGTTCTAGTTTCATAATTTTAATGTTGTTCATTCGAGTTTCTAGGTATGCTCTAAAGTTGGTTTGTTTAGTTATGACTTTCTTTTAGGAACATGAAGTCTAATTTTTCTTAAAACTTTAAATATTAAAAAATATCAGAAAGCGGATAGAGTTGTGGCTTAGTGGTTGGGAGTTTTGTCCTCTTTGCCTTCGGTCGGAGTTAAAAGCACATTAGCTTACACCAATCTTATTGACAATTGCACTTTGATGTCCTCCCACCAAAAAAAGGAGAACCGGTGATTTTATTACTCCACATGGAAAAGTAAGCTTTATTCATTCCTAGTTATTTCAAAATATTATTGTGATGGTCATTTTAATGACTCTGCATCATTTATTGGTTGCTAACAAGAAATGTCACTTTTCTTGAAAATTCTGAGAAAGTCAACTTTTATCTAAAGTTGTTTTTTTTAATACTTCCCCATTACAAGCAAAGAAAAAAAAGTGAGGGATGGGACGACTCATTGTCTGTAATTTCTTTGATATTTTGACATGATAGTGCTGGTTATGAAAATTAATAGATGTGTGTCAAAAGTAGAGATGTGATTGAATAAAGAATTACCTTAAACCCAAAGAAGAAATGTCAGTCAATGATTGATGAAATGCATAACTTGTCATTTCTTAATACTTTTATTGCCTTTCGCTGACTGTTTTAGTATCAGGGACTCCAAACATGCATACTTTTTGATATTTGAACTTTAATTAATCAATATTATATCGTTTCGATTTCACTTAAAATTATAGGCTTATCTAAGATTTTCAATGTGGAAATTATATAAGGACAGACTCATCATGGCCCACGTAAGATCCTAATAAAAAATCTGAGTACTCTAACTAAATAAACTGTAGGATGATTTTCTACCTCAACTTATGTGGTATGTTGTGGAAGAAGTAGGGTAGAACTAAGAAAGAACAAACAGAGAATAGAACTATAGCAAAGCTGAGAAAGTATAATATTCTAGTATGAAGGTTTTCCTCCCTCCCTAACATGGATACAAGCTACTGTCGTGAGTTCTTGCCTCACGCTGAAAATGGCTAAGCATCACCAAAAGCTACTTTGTACTATTTTACCTAAAGAAGCAAACTAGGATAGTGGGAAGGCAACTCATAACGCTAAATTAAGAAATGCAAAATAAGCATACTAATAGTTGCAATATGAAGCACCGCATCATTCCCCCATGGTCCGAGGAGTCTTATTCAGTGGATGAAAGGATGGTTGTCGCCTGATTTGGAGGATGATAAGTCGAAATATCCACCACGTTGAACGTAGAGGAAGTGTTGTACCCCAGTGGTAAATCCACAATGTAGGCACTATCATTAATTCGGGGGACAATCGGTATAGGACCAATCTTCTGACGACTCAATTTTGAATAGGTACCAGGTGCAAATCGCTCACGCCTCATTCTAACCATCACCAAATCTTCTGGTTTAAAGAGCTTGGCACGCCTATGTTTGTCCGCCGCCACCTTGTACTGATTGTTAGCCTCAAGAAGACGTTGGCGCACGTCCTGGAGCATAGTGACAAACTGGTCCGCAAGTGTGCTCGCCGATCGGCTGTGGCACTTGGCAAAACAGCTATATCAATTGTGTGATTGGGCGGTTTGGTGCAAACCATCTTGAACGGACACTTTTCGGTGGACCGATTGGGCATGCTGTTGTAGGCAAACTTGGCTTGTCCCAATAATTCATCCCACTGTTTTGGGTGCTCCTGGACCAGGCACCTGAGCATATTGCCTAGGGTGCGATTCACCACCTCGGTTTGGCCGTTAGTTTGCGGATGATAGGCTGAACTGAGCTTGATCTCAGTTTGCAACCGCTTCCATAATTCCTTCCAAAAGTGTCTCACAAACTTGACATCCCTATCCGACGTAAGACTGCGGGGAATACCATTGAGGCGAACTACCTCGTTGAAGAATAATTTGGCCACATTTAGAGCGTCGAATGTCTTCTGACATGCAATGAAGTGCGCCATTTTTTTGAATCTATCCACAACAACCATTATGAAATCATTTCCTCGTCAGGTGCGAGGCAAGCCTAGAACAAAGTCTAAACTTAAATCTTCCCAAATACTTTCCGATACCGGTAACGGCAAGTAAAGGCCTTGGTTTTGTTCGCCCCCTTTATAACTCTGGCAAACTGGGGCAGCGCTCCACAAATCTCATCACATCTCTCCGGAGATGAGGCCAAAAAAACCTTGATTGCAACTGAGCTAGAGTGTTGCTTCGGCCCACATGAGTAGCCAAACCTCTATAGTGGAGCTCCTTTATCAACTGCGGCCTTCAAGAAGAGTCAGGAATATATAATTGGTTGTTTTTAAACAAATAGCCATGCCTTATGGTATAATCTGCTACAGGACAATTATCCTGGCAAGCCTTCCAAACTGTACCGAAATCTTCATTGCCAGCATACAATTCTTTGAGACATTCCAAACAAGTGATTTCGGTTTGCAATTGTGTGAGAAGGGTAAGCTTCGGCTACGAACAACTTCGGCTTAGAGCATCCACGACGACGTTTTGAGAGCCTGTTTTATGCTTCAACACAAATGAGAATCGTTGTAGATACAATAACCAGCGGGCGTGCATCCGGTTAATGTGTTTTTGGCTATTAATATATTGCAAGGCCTTATGATCACTGCACAATACAAAGTCCGTGTTCAACAGATAATGTTCCCACTGCTTTAGCGCCCTGACGACGACATATAACTCCTGTCATAGACGGTCCACTTTTGTCTCGCGGGGCTCAATGTTTCACTAAAGAACTCGATCGGTTGATTGTCTTGACTCAAAACAGCACCAATGCCGGTGGAGGAGGCATCAGTGTCCACATGAAATGGCTTTCCAAAGTTTGGAAGAGCAAATACTGGAGCTGTAGTTAATGCGGCCTTAATGGCTTCAAAACTGCGCTACTGCTCCTCCACCCAATGAAACTGTTTAAGCTTCAAACAGTTAGTGATAGGCGCCATGAGAATGCTGAACTCATGGATGAATCGACGGTAGAAGTTTGCGAGGCCATGAAAGCTGCACACATCAAAGAAGGATTGATGAACCGGCCACTGAGTTATTGCTTCTATCTTCTTTTGATCAACCTGCACACCCCTTGCGGATATCAGAAAGCCAAGGAAATAAGTACTGGACACCGCAAACTCACACTTGGTGGGATTGAGGTGAAGCTGATTTTGCCGTAAGACTATTAGGATTTGATGCAAATGATCAAGGTGTTCCGGTAGTGAGCTGCTGTAGACAAGAATATCGTCGAAATAGGCGACGCAGAACTTGTTAAGAAATGGTTTGAGGATCTCCATCATCAACCTCATGAAATTCGAGGGCACATTGCAGAGGCCGAATGACATCACCTTCCATTCATACAACCCGTGACACGTTTTGAAGGCGATTTTCCATTCGTCGCCAGGTCGAATCTGTATCTGGTGATAACCACTTCGGAGATCCAATTTAGAGAATATAGTGGCATTCGTGAGTTTTTCAAGCAGCTCATCCACTCGTAGGACAGGGAAGCGGAACTTCACCGTAATCTTGTTAATAACTCGACTGTTCACGCACATGCGCCAGCTCCCATCCTTCTTGGGCACCAATAATGCAGGAACAGCGCAGGGGCTGAGGCTGGGTTTTATAAATTGCTTCTCCAATAATTCCTCCACAATCTGCTGTAGGATTTGCTGCTCCTTAGGACTCAATCGGTAGTGCGGCAGATTTGGAAGGGCCGCACCCGGATGGAAGTCAATCTGATGTTGCAACGCCCTTAGCGGAGGCAGTTCAGATGGTAGAGTCTCGGACAATACATCCCGGAAATGCTCCAGCATCTTCTGGATATTGGAATTCGGCTCCACCTCCCCATGTGCTGCCTCCTGTTTCTGAACCACTAGTGCAAACATAGGTAATTGTTGCTTCCATGAAGAGAGAAGTATGTTACCTATTACAATGTGCATGGCGGTTTTTGCATCAACATCCTTGGCTTGAATATCGGTGGGGTTCGAGATCAACCTCAGCCGTTTTCCTTTCCAATCAAAAGAATATGTGTTTGCTCTGCCATCATATAAGGCTTCGACGTCAAATTGCCAAGGGTACCCCAAGATCAAGTGATAAACATCCATGTGCAGGACATCATAAAGTACTTCACAAGAGTAATGCTTGCCTGTTGAGAACACAACTCGGCACATCTCGGACACAATAATGTCCATTCCCTTCTTCACCCAACTAATCTTGTATGGTTGCGGATGTTTTGTCGTTTTCAGGTGAAGTGCTTGGACGACGGCTCGGGACACGATGTTTTCTGTGCTTCCACTATCTACGAGCAGGTCACAAACCTTCCCATTGATCGTGCATCGCATCCGAAAAATGGTGTGGCGATGGGAGTTGTTTGGTCGCCGAGGTGCCAGTATTAGCTTTTCTAGGACATATATAAGTGGATCACCTTTGACATCCTCCACATCCGTCGGTTGCTTTTCGTCTGGAATTTCGTCCTCTTCTTCACCATCCGCATCCAAGAGCTGTAGCTATGGTCGATTAGGACACACATTAGACTTGTGTCCAACTTGAAAACACCTAAAGCATTTGATGACTTGGGGCTTTGCATAAGGATTTTCCTTAATTGCAGTTACAGGTTTCGGCTGCACTCTCGG